CCGTTCATCCATACTGCACTTGGAAAGTTGCATTACCTGCCAGTTGGTGTAACCTTCCATGTCAATGAGTGTCTCCTCAGCAGTGTGAGTTGTGTCTGTTGTTTTGCTTGTTAGATGCCTGATACCTGACATATAATTAAATGTAAGACTACACACTGTCCTAAAATACTCAGTGATATTCATCAGCTTTGGGAAGCAAAGCTTGGTACAGTACACATGGTCTATGAATTCTTACTTTTCCATCTTTTCCCTGAAGTGATTTAAGTTTCTCTTCACAGAACCACAGAATCACATGGGGTTGGAAGGGACCTCTGGGGATCATCTAGGCCAACCCCCTGCCAAAGCAGGGCCATCCAGAGCAGGTCCCACAGGAACGTGTCCAAGTGGGGTTTGGAATGTCTCCAGAGAAGGAGACTCCACCACCTCCCTGGGCAGCCTCTTCCAGGGCTCTGCCACCCTCACAGGAAAGAAGTTCCTTCTCATGTTTAGGTGGAACTTTTATGAGGACACTTTTTATTCATCAATCTGTATTGTGTAATTTTGTTTGCTACCCAAACTCCATTTGTTCTTTCAAGTTCCTTCCAGTAGTTTTATTTAAACATTTTGGCTGGGGTTCCAGCCAGAAATCAGTTCTCTGTCAGCACACATCCTTTTAAAATGGTAAGATTGCTTTCTCCTCCAGAGATAGTACATCGTTTTTCTTGGCCTTTATGTTCTTCTTATCACTCACATACTTCACTTCTGCAGAAGTTGACATTCCTCAGATTTCTGCTATAGTTTTATAATTCATTTTCCCTGCTTTGGTCAACTGAAAATTATAAAACACAGCAGATGTTTTGAAATATGTTATCTTTTATGAAGGAATGGGTTAAGGATGGGTGGGCTTCAGCACCACATGACAGACACAGCTGGAAGGCAGCAGATGAGGATGATGTAGGCCTGAAGCACATAGAGTGTGAGGAGCCGGGTTTGGGTTTGGAATATAGTATTGTCAGTCTTGAGCGAGGACTCACAAGGTGGCCAACCTTGGACCAAGGTGGCCAACAGCATTCTGGCCTGTATCAGGACCAGTGTGGCCAGCAGGAGTAGGGCAGTGATGGTGCCTCTGTCCTGGGCACTGGTGAGGCCTCACCTCGAGGGCTGGGTTCAGTTCTGGGCCCCTCACTACAAGAAGGACATTGAAGTCCTGGAGCAAGTCCAGAGGAGAGCCACCAAGCTGGTGAGGGGTCTGGAGAACAAGTCATACGAGGAGAGGCTGAGGGAACTGGGCATGTTTAGTTTGGAGAAGAGGAGGCTGAGGGGAGACCTCATTGCCCTCTGCAACTCCCTCTCCTTGGCCTCTTCTCCCAAGGGGATAATGACAGGAGCAGAGGAAATGGTCTGAAGTTGGGGCAGGGAAGGTTTAGATGAGATCTGAGGAAGAATGACTTTCCTGAGAGGGTGGTCAGGCACTGGAAGAGCCTGCTCAGGGAGGTGGTGGAGTCACCATCTCTGGAGGTATTTAAGAAATGTGTAGAGGTGGCACTTCAGGGCATGCTCTAGTGCCCGAGATTGTTGGGTTGGGGTTGTTTGGTTTTGTTTTTTGTTTTTGTTGGTTTGTTGGGGTGGGGTTTTTTTGTGTGTGCGTATGGTTGGACTTGATGATTTCAAAGGTCACTTCCAACCATAAAGATTCTTTGACTCTGTGATGGGGCTGCTGCATAGACCGTGGGAAGGCTGTGCAAGCTCAGCAGGGTCTGGAAAACTGCTGGACATGACACAGGAAATCATAGACCCTATAAAGGCTCTCTGTCTTCTGATGGGAACTTAACTCTGTGCAACCAGGCTACAACTAGCAGGAAAGAAAACCCACTTAAGTGCTAGAGAAAGGGTCGTGCTGCCGTCCTAAGTACAGTGTGGATGGCAGGTCCGCAGCACTGACCGTTTTGCTGTGCAGTTGGGTTGATTCTGTGACGAGGCTGCTGCGTAGACCATGGGAAGCCTGTGCAAGCTCAGTGTACACTGTGGATGGCAGGTCTGCAGCACTGACCGTTTTGCTGTGCAGTTGGGTTGTGCTCCTTGCTAATGAAGGCTTACAAAGGTGGTGTCTCCAACTTCAGGTGCTCCTGGCAGAGCCCATTCATCCGTACGACACTTGGAAAGCTGCATTACCTGCCAGTTGGTGTAACCTTCCATGTCAATGAGTGTCTCCTCAGCAGTGTGAGTTGTGTCTGGTTCATCCATACTGCACTTGGAAAGTTGCATTACCTGCCAGTTGGTGTAACCTTCCATGTCAATGAGTGTCTCCTCAGCAGTGTGAGTTGTGTCTGTTGTTTTGCTTGTTAGATGCCTGATACCTGACATATAATTAAATGTAAGACTACACACTGTCCTAAAATACTCAGTGATATTCATCAGCTTTGGGAAGCAAAGCTTGGTACAGTACACATGGTCTATGAATTCTTACTTTTCCATCTTTTCCCTGAAGTGATTTAAGTTTCTCTTCACAGAACCACAGAATCACATGGGGTTGGAAGGGACCTCTGGGGATCATCTAGGCCAACCCCCTGCCAAAGCAGGGCCATCCAGAGCAGGTCCCACAGGAACGTGTCCAAGTGGGGTTTGGAATGTCTCCAGAGAAGGAGACTCCACCACCTCCCTGGGCAGCCTCTTCCAGGGCTCTGCCACCCTCACAGGAAAGAAGTTCCTTCTCATGTTTAGGTGGAACTTCTTCTATTCAAGTTTGTACCCATTTCCTCTTGTCCTGTCACTGGGCACCACTGAGAAAAGACCGACCCCATCCTCTTGACACCCTCCCTTTAAGTATTTATAAGCATTGATCAGATGCTTGCAATAAAAGAAGTATTTTTCTGACACTTTACCCTGCTGTGGGAAGGGGGACTGTGTGAAAATTCAAGTCTTTAACCCCACGCGTTCTGCAGGAAAAAACATCATTACATATCATAAGGAAGAGGTGCTGAGGATCTCACTGTCCTAGCCTGTTGTTTCTAACAGCTATAGAAATGACTGCTGAGTCGTGACAGAAAGCATGTGCTAAACCTAGAAGGAAGGTTATAAAATAATGTGTTTTATAAGTTCCTGAGTTTGTCAAGAAAATAAGAGAAACATTGCTCCCGTTGTTACCACAATACAAGCATACACCTGACTTTCTGTAAGATGGGTCTGCTTATAAAATCATGTTGCTGATGCCTTAGCTGTGCAAAATCTTCATCAAAATAATGAGCCAAACATTATTTTTTTACTTTTTCTACACTTGAAAAGACGATTCAATTTATATTTTTTCTTAAGTTTGTTGGTAGTCTTTTCCTGAAAGGTAACTTTTGGGACCTTCTGGTGGTTTTCTTTAGAATCTTAAAAAAGTAATATGAAAGAAACTTTCAGCAATTGCTAGGATGCTTCTTTATAACTATTAAAACTTAATTCTGTTGAAATACTTCATGTCAAATTATTCCAGAAGCTGCAATCAGATGTTTAGTTCTGAAAAGTACTGTACATTTCATGATAGACTGTTATTATGTTCTGGTTCTTATGGGCATTTCAATGAGATTTCAGTGATGAGCTAAAATGCCAAAGCTACTGTAAAGATAAAAATATTCTACCATCTGTGCTGCTTATGTTGATTTTTAGTTTTTAGTTGAAAACAATTCTGTCAATTTTCAACTTTTAAAAGTAAAATAATGGATCATATTCATTGAGTTGTGATTTTATTTTTATCTGCAAAACCTTGACTTATCATGGAGTCTCTGGAATTAAAGGATGCAACCATTGTGTATTCTGTGAAAAATCAGAAAGTCCTTGGGGCTGGATCTTCCCCTGTAGATAAAACGAACTGTAAGTGTAGTGTTTGAAGCATAGCATTGTGCAGATATTTTTGGTGTCAAGCAATGTTGTAAAACAGGCAAGATAAAAATAAGTGAAGTTTATTCAGAATTAAATAGGGTAAGTAAATAAGAATTGTAAACTATTGTTACAATTTTTATATCTTAGATACCTACATGTTCATAAAATATTATTTTAGTACATGCTACTAAAAAGCTACAATTTCTTAGGCAATTTTAATCAGTTTACTTCTTTTCTGTGATTATGTTTTCCATCTATAAAATGCAGATTTACACACATATTTTTTTCAGAATTACATTTCTCAAAATATTTTTGAGAACTGAGTTTTCAATTAATCATTTCTTCAGCATTATTTAATGCTATCTTGTGTAGTAATGACATAAATTTTTATTTATATGTCATAGCCAATGCCATGAACATGATCACTATTTTATGCAGAGGTAACTCCTATGAATGTGTGTTACAGTTACATTCACTGTCTCAAAGCCTTGTTTAAGAAAGTGGATTGAAGTTTCAGAGCATTACTCTTAACATTAAGTAGGACAATTAGGCTTATTTTGTAGCTGGAAAACTGGCATCCAAAGATTGTGAGGGTAAATCTGGGTGAGGTGAATCACTGTCTTAACCAGTGTACACTAGATACCATATATCGGAACTGGGACTGAAACTCAGACCTCATGCCTCAAATAGAAGTATTAGGGCACACTTTCCTTTAGCAATAATAAAATATACAGCCTGCAGATACTTATTAAATTACTTAAAGTCTTCAACAAACAATAGCATTTGTTAAAGTGGTCCAAATGGTTAAAAGGATTTTTTTTTTTTTTTTTTTTTTTTTGTGAACAGCTAAGATTGAGGCAGATAAATGCAGCTTTTCCATTATGGATTTAATATCTCAGTACTTGCTTCTGGAGTATTTAGCATTTTATTCACTGTGCTGATTAAAATCTGTTGTAGATGATAATTATGCTGGTTTTATCATTCAAACACTCAAAATTGATTTTTAAATTTTTAAGTGGCTTGTACTAGACTTATTTCTCAAAGGGTTTAGAAGTCTGCTTATATTATGTCCTTTCATCGTGTTCTCTGTAAATGCTAAATCAATGCAAAATTAGTAGATTCCCAGTTCTAAAAAAAACCAAACCACCCTTTTTTCATAGGAGGAAGAGCTAAGGAAAAGTGGAGAAGCCAAATACGCGCACTTGAGTGATGAGCTTCACGTATTAATTGAAGTGTTTGCTCCACCTGGGGAGGCGTATTCTCGGATGAGTCATGCCTTGGAAGAAATAAAAAAATTCCTCGTTCCCGTAAGTGGCTTTTAACATTCTTCTGTGGCTGGTTATGCTTTTGCTGCATCGAATTTGTTCCTTCTTCAAGCACCTTTAGCTGAGGGGGAAAAAAAGAAAAGAGTTCTGTTGAACATTCATCTTTCATTCTTTCATCTCAGGGAGCTGCCAAATAGTCTATTAATTGTCACAGTTGATCACCTGATATATTTTCTAGATGTTTTATTATTTCCATTTCTCTTTTTTTTTTTTTTTGCTTTTCTTCCTTGGTTTTTGGAGAGAAGGTAGATGACTTTTTTTCTCCGGTTGCAGACATTAGTCATTAGTATGGGTGTACGCTTTCAAGAGTTTTTAAATATTTAAGTCTGTAAAAACATTTTTGTATATGTAATGATTTATCTAAATATCTTACGAATGCAGTTAATTAATTAAACAAACAGCATGAGCACAGGTTAGCAGTCAATCCTCGATCAGCAAGGAGGGCACAGAAACATCTTCTAAAGCTGGGAACTTTCCAGTTCCATTTATACTCTACTATAATACTATATCACTTTCTGAAATAATTACCTTTTTATCTATTGATTTTCCATCAAACTCTCTGAAATTTATTTTGTCGCCATTTATACAATATTCCATTCTATTTTCGTACTTAAATTTTGGCCTAGTGTTTAAGCATATGCATACTAAATACTGAATAAAGGTTGCTTTGTGTAGTACTAGAATTACGGGAGTTATCATCTGAAGTCTATCCTGAGACTATTTAGCACCCTACAAATGTTCAGAACTTGCATTACTTGAGAGAAATGTAATGGGATCTTGTTTCTATTTGTCATTAAAAAAAATGAATTGCAGTAGCTGTTCATATCTCTCCACAATAATGAAAGAATTCAATGAATGCCTTTTTGTTACGTATAATATGAGTCGAAGAGAAGAGATATTCAGGTGAGGCACACGCGTATTTGCATGACAGAACTTAAACGTTTTATTTGGTGGGGGAAAGGGAGAATACATTACAATATTTAAGTACAGTATTTAAAATGTTCAAAATTTTTAGAGCGACTAAACAGTTTTTAACTAAATAAATTAAAATTGTTAAAAATAAACAGCTGGATATTTGTTTGAAATCATAAAGTTTATTGGCACCAGGTGAGTGCCCGTAAATGAGCTACATTTTAAACAAGTTGACTCTTTCTGATTCTCCCTTTCCACCCTCTTATTATGCTTCCAGTTTGGGAACACTGGTAATAAAATACTATTCCAAATTCTGGGAAGTAACCAAGAAAGAGTTTTTTTGCATGATTTCTGACTCTTGTGTTGAACACACAATACGAGGGACTAATCAGGGCAGTGTTGTAATGCTGGCAACGTAACGTGGAATGACATTTTGGCTGCAAAGATCCACCAAGGCCATAAGTGTTGAACACACAATACGAGGAACAAATAGGTCAGTGTCGTAATGCTGGCAACGTAACATGGAATGACGTTTTGGCTGCAAAGATCCACCAAGGCCATAACACTGAAAGAAAATATATAGTTAAGTAACATGTTCCTGAGAAGTCTGGAATGTTATAGCTAAAAAATGGTAAGCGGGCTAATTACCAAGATTACCAGACTCTGTCCTTTGGATAACCCCATTTCCAGTTGTTTGTGAATTTGCCAAGCTTCAGTTTCTTTCTGTAAGAGGTTCCTGTTTAAAGTTATCTTTGTACATCCTCTTCATTCTGGAAGAGAGCTCCAGCAGTGATGATGGTACCTGTTCCTATGCCCCCTAGGATTTTTAATGCCCATTGGGTGTTCTGTCCAGCCTGAGAAATCTGTTCTGGGTGGCAAGGGAGAGAGAGCAGTGCGTCATGAGAGGGGTTTTAAAATTTGTGGCAAGTTGCTCTTGTAAAACAAGCAGATATTTTGTGTGACACATTATTTATTGATAAGGATTATATGTATTTTCCAGCACAAGCATAATAGCTACACTGGAGGAAATATAAAAATAGGTTCTTTGTTACAAGATTTTGGACTTGGTTGGCAGCAGCAATAATCACTCCAAGCGAGTAACAATTGTACTTTATGGCTTGTTTGTTGGTTTTATCCCCTCTGCTTCATTTCAGATAGACAACAAATTACAAAGCAATTATTAACTGGCTGGTTACAACACGTGTCAAGGGGTTTATACTCAAAAAGCTTGCACAAGATAATTTCCTTTTTGTTCCCTATTTACAGCGTATCTTGAATTTGGTTTATGGTGTTTTGTTGTTTATAAGACCTAATTTATTGCAGCATTGAATACTAGAATGACATGACAGGGATGAAAGCAGTAGAATCTAACAGATTTATTTGTACCAAACCAAGGATGTAATAAACTATTCAAATGAGTTTTTACATTGCTTATGAATTTTGTGAAGGTTAGGTGAAATATTGCCCTCAGAAATTACACGGATTTTGTCAGTAAGATGGAAGAATGTTTGAATACTATATCCATAAGTTTTAATGAGACTGAATTTTGAAATAAATGCCTAGAGAATGTAATAATAGAAAAAGAGAAAAATGTAGACTAGGACTGAGGGAAAAAAAAAAAGAATGTTCATTAACTGAAGCAAAGATTTAACAAACAAGGACTTTTGATTTAAATGTGATTACTTAATTTTCACCTTCAACCTTGCCCAGGAATAGTTCAAAAATTCTAATCTAACATTTAATATATAAAATAAATCAATTATATATCTCTAAATATATATAATATTTTTTATATATATTTATTATATTTATATATATATATATATAAATAAATTAGTTTAAAAATTTTAACTAGTGAAGATTTGGAATGTCAGACACCAATATAGGTTAGGGATGGACCTGCTGGAAAACATTTCTGAGGAGAACGATCTGGGGTCCTGGTGGATAGTGAACTCTCCATGAGCCAGCAATGTGCCCTTGTGGCCAAGAGGCCAATGGGATCCTGGGCTGCACAGGGAAGAGTGTGGCCAGGAGGTGGAGGGAGGTCATTCTCCCCCTCTGCTCTGCACTGGGGAGGCCACAACTGGAATCCTGCCTCCAGTGCTGGGCTCCCCAGTTCCAGAGGGACAGGGAACTGCTGGAGAGAGTCCAGTGTGGGGCAACAAAGATGATGGAGGGATTGGGGCATCTCCCTGATGAGGAAAGGCTGAGAGAGCTGGGACTCTTCAGCCTGGAGAAGTCTGAGGGGAGACTTTATTCATGCTGACAAGGATCTAAAGGGTGGTTTGAGGGAGGATGGAGCCAGACTCTTTTCAGTGGTTCCCAGTGACAGGACAAGGGGCAACGGGCACAAGCTGGACCATGGGAAGTTCCACTCCAATCTGAGGAAGAACTTGTTTGGGGTGAGGGTGGCAGAGCCCTGGAACAGGCTGCCCAGGGAGGGTGTGGAGTGCCCTTCTCTGGAGATCTCCAAGCCCCACCTGGATGGAGTCGTGAGTGATGTGCTCTGGGCAGCCCTGCTTTGGCAGGGGAGTTGGGCTGGATGGTCTCTAGAAGGTCCCTTCCAACTCTGACAATTCCGTGATTCCGTGATTTCACCTCCGAGTGAGAGGCAGAGACTGAGTGTCCCTCCTTACACTGGCTGTTCCACACGTTAACACGTTTCAAAGCTTCAGGTGGTGCATTGGGCTCCCTCCGAGAGGCATTTCAGGGAACGATTGTGCCCCAATATCGGCAGCCTTCGGTTGTTTTGACGAAAAGTTTTATGGGTTTTATGAAAAACTTTTATGGGTTTTATGGGTTTTATGAAAAACTTTGGCTTTTGGCGGGGGTGGGGGACAGTTCTGGTATCCAATTACTAGCTAGATTTTTATTTTGATGTTTACTTTCAATATGAAAAATTGAATATAATCAAAATATGACAAATCGAAAGAGCCATGATTAAGAAAAAAGTGGTAATACCTCAGAGTTTTGAAACACAACTGCCTGCTCTGTTGTGTTCTTTTGGCAACCTAGTAAAATTAAAACCCCAAAGTCAAGGTTTTAGGGTAAAAATGAAATTTGGAACAGATGTTACCATAATACAAGTTATCCAGTATTAGTTGTGTGGAAAGTACAAACAGCAGGGATGCATAGGAGGAGAACATGCTTTTTGCAAATTCACCTCTGTGGCCAACACAAGTTCAATAAAATCCATAGGTATCTGACTGCCGAGTGCTTCTGACCCCAAACTGCCAGGGACCTAAGTCTGGGTGAGGAACCTAAGGCTGATGTTATGTCTCAGTGCCCCAGAATGGGATGCAGGACAGTGAACTAGAAGGGGGGATGTTTAAAATGGCCAATATCAGGGGGGAAAGAGCTGATTTTAAGAGGTTCATATCTATTAAATGCTGTGAAACTTTCTTCACCATTAATGAGCAATGAAATCCTGCATTGTTCTGATCAGATGTGACTATGTCATTCTGATTAACATCCAAACTTCCAAAATACTTTCTGACCAAGCTATTATTTCCATATAGGAAGAGGCTATACTGTCTTTAGGACTACCACAAGAGCTGCTGTTCAACTTATTTGCATAGATTTTTCTAACCCCATAGTGAACTTCAATCCTCTTATCTCACCGTGCTCCGTACCTTTGGTTAAAACAATTTTCTTATCAATCATTTAAGAAGAATAAGTGTTCTCACTGATCCAGCTCCTAGTATCAGCTCTTCAGTCTTCCTAACTAAAGATGGAAAATTACTGAGCAAAACGAGCCTTTCAGTGAAATAAAAAGTTAAAAAAAAATTCATACTGGGAGTTATTCATACCAGAAATATGTATGGAAAAATCGAGATTTCAGGGGCATTGAAAACAAACTTCGATATCAGTTTGTTTCAGTGGGAATGATTAAATAATCTTACAGTAGAGTTTAATCCCTTGAAGTTCTTTCTCTAGCTATATTTCAAAATAAACTGTTTTACTTCAAACGCACATTTACAGTATGCACAGTAACTACAGACCAAAGTTACTAATGATGTCTTATGCCATGTTTTGCTGGCTATATTGTAGTATATACAGCACACAGTTAC